GATGGATTCATAGTACAACCTAGACAACTAAAAAAGAAATTTAAGTAACTATATGTCTATCATGTCAGTATTATCATATATGAACATATGAAGGTCTTTGAAAGAAGCTAGGAAGTTACATAGGCCATAGACAAACAGTAATTAAGATAATTTACAAGAAGATAACGGATAGAAACCTGGAGATAACCAAATATTTAGCAAGTCATATTCATCATATAAGAACATATAATCAGTTAATATAGTTTTAGAATCTTTTGCTGAACTTTTAAATCAAATGGAATCCAGTACGACACTTTCCTCATCACAAGTGAGTTGCCTAATTAAATAAAGGAGTTGATAAATATCCAAACCTTCATGAGTTCTTTTCCTTTTCAGTAGTGAAGAATGATCTAACTCCTCTAAATCATCAATATTTTCGTGCAAAACCTCAAAAGTATCACGAGGTTGAACTTTTCGTACAACATGCCAACCTTTATTGGATAGATCGTCAACGTAAAAAACATGTGATGCTTGGTTGGCTAATACAAAAGGCTCTATTGTTTTCAAAAATAGATGGCGGTTAACACTTACAAAGCCATATTCATCTATTTTAACTCCCTTTTCTTGGTCATACACATCAAACCACGTACATCGAAATAAAACTATTCTTCCTCCACCAATAAATTGTAATTCTAGTATATCTATTAGTTCTCCATAGTAATCAATGTTCTTATTCTCTTCATCTGTCTCTCCAACTACAACCACCCCGCAGTTCTGAGTTCTCAAACCTTTATCATAATCTTTCACGTGAAATCTATATCCATTAATAAGGTAGCTTCGATGACTTGTCACGTATGGCATGGGACCACGTGACAATGAGAGCAAATCTGCCATTTTTTTACTGTCATTGCATTTGTGTAATCCTGCAACCTATCAAGATCAAGCACATAATTTAGCAAATAATATTTACATACTTGGTTTGAAAAATATTAATATTAACTAGTACTCACCTTTTCTTTTAACCAACCAATGAATTGCCTATAAGAATTTTCTTGAGAGGTATCAACTGGAGTTAGTGAAAACTCTCTACATATAATTAAAGCATAATAACATGTTATTTTAATGAAAAAAAATAAAAAAGGTACATAAAAGTAAATTATTGAAACAAGTCATTACTTACTCGAGAAATGGTTGAATTTCATCACAATTCTTCAAAATATAAATATGTGCTTGCTCCAGTTCATTTGAATCAAGTTTGTGTGGTTTGCCACCTCTTAAAGCTCTTCCGGGATGACAAAAAATTGTTAAACCTCCATCAGATTCTATAATACCACCATCATAATTTCATTCAAGGCGATTAAACTTTGTTTCCATTGTATGTATATGTCTTGAACATAAGGTCATACATTCAGTTGCTAAATATCCCTCTGCAATAGAACCTTCTGCGCAAGCCCTATTACGAATAAATGGTTTCATAAAATAAATATATCGCTCCATTGGATACATCCATCGATATTGAGAAGGTCAAGAAATCTTAGCTTCATTAGCTAAATGAATTGGCAAGTGCTCCATGACATCAAAAAATGTAGGAGGGAAGACTTTTTCTAGCATGCACTCAGTTATTGGGATTTGGGCATCTATCTGCTCTAATTCATCCACACTTAAACATTTCGATCCAAGTACGTTGAAAAACAAAGACAACTCAATAAGCGGTTCACACACAGATTTGCATAGCATGCCCCGTAGAGCAAGTGGGAGTAAATGTTGTAGAAGAACATGGCAATCATGACATTTTAAACCTGAAATTTTGCGATCTTTAAGGTTGACACACTGGGAAATATTTGATGAAAATCCATCTGGGACCTTTAAGTTCTTCAAGAAACTGAAAAACCTATGCTTCTGTTCAATAGATAATGTGTAACATGCCGTTGGTAAGTCATATTTATCCCCAATTTTTATTGGATGCAATTCTTTCCTAATGTTCATTGCTTGCAAATCCGACCGAGTGTTTGTGGTGTCTTTGGTTTTTCCTTTGATATTTAAGATTGTCCCCAAAATATTATCACATATATTTTTCTCAATGTGCATTACATCTAAGTTATGCCGCAATAAAAGAGTTTTCCAATATGGGAGATCAAAGAAAATACTCTTCTTATTCCAATTATCACCCCTACTCTCATGTGATATTTTAATCTTCTTCTTTGGATCCTTTGTTAGTTGTAACCCATCTAAATCAGCCACTTGATCAAGTATATCATCACCAGACAACTATTTTGGTGGTAATCTTTTCTCCTTAGTGCCATCAAATGATACTTTATCATTCCTCCATTTGTGATTAAGAGGAAGAAAGCGTCTATGGACCATATAGCACTGTTTTTTTATAATTTTGTAACCTAATTGAGTGAGTTTCTTTATTGCAGCATGGGCACGCTAGTTTTCCCTTTGTACTCCATCCAGACAAATTTGCATAGGCGGGAAAGTCATTAATGGTCCATAATAAAGATGCATGTAACACAAAGTTTTGTTTAGTTGACGCATCAAAGGTCTTCACTCCAGATTCCCACAATTCCTTTAATTCCTCTATCAAAGGCCGGAGATAGACATCAATAGCATCTCCGGGACTCTCAGGACCAGGAATAATCATCGACAAAATAAAATTTTCTTTCTTCATGCATAGCCAAGGTGGTAAATTATAAGGAATAAGTACCACAGGCCAAATGCTATATGGAGTTTTGGAATTTCCAAATGGTTGAAAACCATCGCTAGCAAGTCCAAGTCGAACATTACGAGGCTCGGATGCAAAAGATTGATAAAGTTCGTCAAACGTTTTCCACGCTATTGAATCAGCTGGGTGCCTCATTATTCCATCATCAACTCTTTTGTCGTGGTGCCATCTCATCAGAGTAGATATTTTCGAGGACATAAATAATCTTTGAAGTCTTGGCTTTAGAGGAAAATAACGTAAAATCTTGTATGGTATCTTTTTCCCATTTTTAAATTTGGTTTCCCCGCTACGTGTATCCTCCTTCCATCTAGATGCACCACAAACTTTGCAAGACTCAAGAGACTTATCATCATTCCAGTATAACATACAATCATTCTTACATGCATCAATCTTCTTGTAAGAAAGCCCTAGGTGCCGAATTACCTTCTTTGCTTCGTAATATGAATCTGGCAAGTTTGATCCATCCGGCAATAAATCTTCCTTCAAGAGCTTCAACAACATTGTAAATGATGCGTTACTCCAATTACCAATACTTTTGATATGAAGCAACTTTACTAAAGTAGAAAGTTTAGAAACTTTTGAATCTTGGTACAATGGTTGCTCAAAATCTTTTAAGATCCTATAGAATCTTTTTGCTTCAATATTCGGTTCCTCCTCAAACGGCCCATCACCATCATTGTTCATATTGTCTCCTTCAAAATTGGGATATAAATCTCTTAAAATTCATGTATTTCATCCTCATCATCACCCTCTTCATTGATCTTATCACCTACAAATTCATAATCTGAAGAAGACTCACCTAATCTCTCCCCATGGTGATACCAAAGGGTATAATTTTGGACCATTCCGTCTACTATTAAATGTGACCTAACCAGCTCACGTGTTCCTGAAATTGCATTACAACATTTGACGCATGGACAACGTATTTCGCGTGTTTCTCCCAATCTTTTAAAAGCATAATCAATAAAGTTCTCCACCCCAAGTATGTAAGCGTTATCAAGTCGATCATGAATAAGTTCCATCCATTGCTTATCAAGTGCCATAATCTGGTGTATACACGAAATTGATATACATATATAGTCAACCAAAAAATATTAGTATGGCAATGAACAAGAAATGAACATAAGCGAACAAATACATATTAGTCACCTTTACTAAGGAATATTAGTCAATCTACTTCCGAAGATCATTTTATAATATGTTTGAATAATTTCTCACATCCACCATTTCACAGGCCTACCTATTTTTACTGTTATATTTTTAATTTTCTCATTACGAATTCAGAAGCATTCTAAGGTTCCAATTCTAAAAAAATAAAGAAAAATTAGAAAATAATGAGCTGATATAAGTGGTTGTAAATCGAATTAGAACTCCACCAGACAGAATTTAGAATGATATTTCTTTCATTGCCTAATTATTTCAATGAATAAAAAATTGAATTTTTTAAATCAAATTACTAGTCTTGGAGCTGTTATCTTTTTCTATGTTGTGAATTTAAGTTTAGTGATTTTTTGTGTTTTCTAAAGGAGGTTAAGTGTAAAACTTTCTAGTAGACATCTGAACTATCCCTATAAAATGTAGAAGTTGATGTTCAACCAAATTAATTCATTCTAGAACCCTTGGTAATTCTTCAGTTGCTCACATTGTCCCCAACTAGATTATATCATATTAGGGAAAAATGGAACAGCATAAGGGGGTTGTATAGTTGTCTCTCACCTTTTTATATGAGTATTGATTAATTTAAAATCAATGTCACTTTAGAGTGTAAGGGGATTATTTTCATCATTCTCATATTTATGCTCATCTTTTAGTAATAACAAGTTTTTCTGTGATTGTTCTGTGGGGTTGAGCCTTAACTTTTATTGACTTACATAAAAGATTGGAGAGCTTAACAGAATCAGAATTGCAAGTATTGCTTGATTGTGTGGTAGTTAACCAACAATCATTTGCAACACAACTTAGTGGAACAACTATCATTTTATCCTTAGCTTTCAAAATGAAGCCAAGCAAGTTCAGTCACCAAAGAGTAAACTACCTTCAATCATATGGAGCAACAACATGAATAGTGGCAGCAATGAGTATTTAACAGTACTTAATTTTGGCCCTAAAATATTAAAACACAATCTTAGACTTGCTTTTTCTGTAACTGTGATTGGTACTCATCAATGACAATGATGCGTTCGGTGATCCTTGCATGTTTGTTTTTTCTTTTAAATGTATAAATTATTATTGAAGGAGTCTTGAAGCAACAGTAAAATTTTTCTTTATGTGACTTATAGATAGATGACATAAAGCTGGACAGGAATGTGATCAAGTGACTTATAGGAATGTGATGACAAAAAAGACGAAGTCTGTAAGTCTCAAGTCATCTTAGTTTCATTTCATAACTTCTGTTTTTAGAATATTGATACTCTTACCTTAATAAAGCAAAGTTCAACGGCTACATTGATTGTCAAATTTATCAGAAAGGGCTTTTGTTTCACTGTTTTTTTTTCTAACACCAGATCTCAAATAGAGACAACGAAAAGCAGAGCTTCCTCATTCAAAGCATGCACAGCAAAGTAAACACAAACGACATAAATTATATCATGGAATTATTAACGCGAAGAGCACAAATAACTTAACAATTGACACAAAGAACACTTCACTCATACTAATGACAGATAACAAAATAATACTAGCTTTTATCAATCATGTACAAAATAATAGTTTATGCAAATTGATTGCGTTAAGTAAAATAGCATAACTTACCTTTTTAGGTTGACGGTGCTTGTAACTAAAATTCAGAGTTTCTGAAAATAAGGACAACAAATAACTTTGTTTTGTCAATAATGTACATGTAATCACGGATAAAAGAATTGCAGTACAAACTAGGTGTAATAATCTCTGAACCAACAAACATTAATTAATACAACTTAGTAGTTCATAAACATTAATTAATCACCTTTCATTTCGTGTGAATACGTTTAACACTATACAAAATACAGCTACATAGGAATATAACTTCATAGCTATATAGAACGTCAACTATCATTGAACTGCTAAGATTCTTGATATTTTTGTGGTTGGATTCCAAAAATACATGTTGCAACCAGATCTAGAAGTTATAGGGTAAAGAAGAAAGATAACACCATTGCAACAGCCAAGGACTTCAAAACTTTTAGTTGATTCCCACAGAGGAAATTCCAGTTTCTTGTGCTCGGCAAATGTTTCATCACAGTACAAAGTGCAACATTCTTTTTCCCCAACATCTAAGATATCGTTACTTATCAAGTAGGTTTTCTTGTATGATGAATGCTGATTCATATGCATCTTAACAAAATGAGGATCTCTAATAAGATTAAACCAAGATTTGTAAACACAACCGAATTGCACGAGAGCTTTGACTGGAAGTCTTGACAAAATGTTTGTTATTTCATCACCAGGTGGATCAACAGAGATCATTGTGCTTATTAAGATAGTAACGGCAAAAGAAATGCCAAAAGATTGGCCTGTTGCCTAGCGGATTTGAACAACCTTTACAAGATCAAAGGAATAGGAATTTAGCACCAGTAAATGAAGCACTTACAACTCTACCAATTAGGCATGGTCATAAGTGAGAGAGCGACAGAGAACAAACTTTCAAATATGGGAAA